CAGTTGATAGGCAGTCACCCGGTGGGGGTCGGGGGAGGTACTCCTGGTGGTCACTGGCACCGCACTGGCTCTGGATGAAGCATTTCCTAGAGTCCTGAGGGTGTGGGAGAACCGGGGCCTTTCTGTCTGGCCTACCCTCACCGGCTCATCTCCAGAAATCGCTGAGAACGCGCAGTGAGCAGTTGAGAACAGTTCAGTCCCGTTGCTGGAATCCCAAACTCAAATCCAAAATCCCAGGCTTGAGCGATTGCACACCTCTCATCTGCGCTGTGAGGAATGCAGAGATGTTAATGGAGAGGACCAGAGACCGCGTTGGCTGTTGTTGCTATGCCGATTGTCTGGGGTTTGGGTGCCAAAAAACAGTCTTCAAGAGTCCTAAGACTCTTGACCTCCGGGCTATGTGTCTTAATATTGCCACCTGAGTGTCCAAAATGTCCTTCCGTGGCCCTCAAATTCTGAGACACTTCGGAGAATCCCGCAGTTCACAGAGCAGCAATTTCCACCAAGTCGGGAAGTCTCCTTTGGCCTAGGTGGAAGCTGAGGCTTGTGACAGTCAGGTGACTTCACCTGGCTTGTGAGTAGCTGCCACATCCCTCTCACAGTTCCGGTGGCTGATTAGGCAAGCGGGAGAGCAGTGGGAGATTGAGGAAAGGTAGCAGCCTGGCCCAAAATGACGAAGAATCTGCTCTTCCCTTTGAAAGATGGGAGAGGCTGCTGTGCTTTTCCTGGATCAGGGACCCTCTAACCAACTCGGTTCTCCCCGCGGCGCCCAGTTCTGCCTCAAGAGCTCTAACCCTGAGCAAGAACCCGACAGTCGTCCTCCAGCTCCTCCCTGCATCTGTTCATTTGTTCAGTGGTCATTCAAGAGCAGCCCTGTGTGCCCTGTGCCACACTCAGCACAGAGGAGGCAGTGGCCTTGGACTCCCATTCTAGTGGAAGGACAGACAACAAACAAAGAAACAAACAATCCGTACACATGGGAAATCATGTCAGGAGCTTTCCAGGAGGGAGAAAGATTGTCTGTTCCCCCCCCACCATGCACAGTGCCTCCTGCACTAGGAAAGAGCAAGCGGCTTCCTGTGTGACTACCGGGGCGGGGGTGGGGGGGTGGGGGGGTGGGGACGGGATGAGCAGCTAGGGTGTGTGCTAGGGAAGTAAAGACCTCAAACACTGGCCTGTACAGTCCCTCCTGTTGCTGAAAAAAGAAGGAAAGACAGGAAGAAGAAAAGAGAAGAGAAGAGAAGAGAGGAGAGGAGAGGAGAGGAGAGGAGGGGAGGGGAGGGGAGGGGAGGGGAGGGGAGAAGAGAAGAGAAGAGAAGAGAAGAGAAGAGAAGAGAAGAGAAGAGAAGAGAGGAGAAGAGAGAAACACAACCTGGCATGTTAAGGGACTTCAGGAGATCTACAGAGTAATGGGGCAGGGGTCCCATCTGTGAGAGAAATACTGCATCTGGCAGCGCAGGCTAGAGCCAGAGCCAGCCTTGGTGGCTTTTACATGACCAGAGGGCTATAAGGGTGCCTTGATAGTAATGGTGATGGTGCTCAGGCTTTCCATTGGGACAGACAAGATGGCTAGATGTACAGATGGTCAAACAAATTGAGTTAATAGAGAAGAATGAACAGCTTCACTTGAGAGCATTCTTCCTGATAAGGTACGCGAAAAGGGGAAATCCAAATGAGGAGATCCCTGGCGGTTTGCGGGAAGGTTCCTGGTGGCACCATCAAAGGACCAAACATCATTGTACATTGCAGACAAACTCACAGCCACTTCCTCACTGGCTCACAAGCTCAGCCTCCTTGAACATCCATAAGCTGTGATTCAGACCGTTGAAGGCCCTCAGTAGGAGACTCCCATCATATGCCACAACCAGCGTGCTCAGGGTTCAAATTCCTGGGCCACCACCAAAAGGTTGAATTAGGCAGTAATTAAGCAGGTGGCCTGTGGTGGTGAGAGTCAGCTCAATGGGATGCATGCTGGGATGCTCCAGGGTCCAAGGGAAGCAGGAACATTGTGTAATCGCCACTGGCCCCCACCCCACTGCTGTAACTTCTTGTCACAGCCCTCCCCCTCCTAAGCCAGGAAGTGGATAGAAGGAGTAGGAAAATGGCAGTCCGCATCTGGATGCCTGAGGGCAGCTTCTAGGCTCCAGGGACTGCAGTCACTCCTACTTGCTTGAAACTCCTAGACAAAAAAATCAGTCTTTACACCCCAGGGAACTACTACATGACGATTTCATTCATTCGTTCAACACACGGTTTATGAGGATTTGCGCTGTGCCAAGACCTGTGGTGTGCAAGACAGGCCTGGTCCCTGTTTTAAGAGAACTTACTGTTCTGGGGCTGGAGGAGAGAGAGAGGGAAGTACAGCCCAGAAGAGGCAGTCATGCTATTAATTTTTGACACTTGATTTTGGAAGAGGACCCGAGCAGGCAACTAGTTGTCCTGGATTAAAGGAAATCATGGACTCCTAGGCTGCCGCTGTGCTGGAATGCTGGAAGGAATAGAGTGATGAGAGTTCTTCAGTTCCCCCCCACACACGCTAATACTCTTCAGGGAGCACCAACTACTTGAGCTATGAGCACAAAGAGTGGTCAACCACCCCTGAGGTCTGGAATGGTAAGGAGGCCGGTGGGTTTATAAAACTTGGATGAGAGGGCATGGGGTTCGGGGATGAGCTCCAAATCATGAGTCAGACAAAAGCATGGGGGTGATAGGAGATGAACCACCACCTGTCCTGAGATACCCAGGTGGGAGGGCTCCAGAAGCTCTAGGATGGGAGGAAACTTTGACCAAACAGGAACATTCAGGGCAAGGGCATGCTTATCCACCCTTTTGCCATCTGAGATTGAACAATGATTTGGATTGAGGGACTCAGTCTACCCATAGCAAAATAGGTATGCTAAGACAAGCATGTGAGGCCAAACTGATGTGACTTCTGGCAAAATAGACATTCGATAAACATGAGACTCTCTGGTGGTTAAGATCTGTTGGCCAGAGAGGGAGAGACAGACACAGGTTTCTGACCAGCCATGGGGGGATGGGTGCCATAGTGGTCCAGCGCCCCTGGCTCTGAGGAATATCTTTATTAACGAGCACTTCAAGGTAAGCCAGCGATGAAAACCAGATGTGGGATCGTGCAGTCTGCATCAAGTAAGGACCAGAGATAACAAGGGGTAGGGTGGAGTTGAGACCAAGGATAGGTGGAGTTGGAGGTAGATGCAAGTCTCCTATACTTTTTCTCTGGGTGATTCAAGCACAGAGAGTAGGCATCCATCCCATCCTTGGGTTCTGAGCATTCAGGGTCTCCCCACCCCAGCCTGCTCCAGACTCCCCTTGAGGCAAGTCTTCCATCCTCAGATTTCTCCTGCAGTTTAAGGAGGGATGCTCTAAAGAATCTGTCTGAGCTTTTCTGCAGCTGGAAGGCAGTTAACTTTTGAGGTCTCCATTGTTGACATTTGCTTCAACTTCCCAGGTCTATGGAGACTGTTTCTGCAGGGGTTCTGAGGAGGACATGTTGACTTCTCAGTGGTCCTTCCCGCTGTGTGATTTTGACCATGTGTCTGCACCTCTCTTGCAGACCGGAAAATAAGAGCATCCAATCTCCGTTAGTTGTGAGGTGCAACCAATGCTCAGTCCAGGCCAGGAGCTTGACAGGCTGGGAAAGTTCCTTCCCCTTGCTATATGCAGGTCCAGGTGTCCACATAAATCCACACCATGGGTGTGGTTATGCACGCCTGTCATCCCAGCACTCTGGGGGCAGAAACAGGATCCTGAGTTCCAGGCCAGCCTGAACTAACCAGTGAGACCCTGTTTCAAAATCAACAAAATTTGAGCCTTTTGTTTTACAATGGGGGTGGTGGATGGGCACAGTGAAGAGAGAAATACTGATTTCACTCAACAGATGACAGAGACAATTTATCCTGCAAGGTTGGGCAGGAAGGATGTCTCTTAAGGCCCTATCCTCAACCTGACTTTGAGGACCACCACCCACCCACCCACCCCCATCCTGGCAAGTAAGAGGCTGGAGGGCTGGGAGCCTAGGTGCTCTCCGCTCTAGAAGCCAGGTTAGTGTAGGGTCTCTCGAGTGACTGAGCCAACACAGACCTCACAGCAACCGATGCCAGAACCCTTACAGGGCAGGGAAATAGTTAAGACGTAAAAAGTGTCGTCTCCGGACCACTATGAGAATCTGTTGTGTGTGAATTACTGGGAAGAAGCGGGAATGGGAAGGCAGGATTGAAAGTCAGGTTAAGGTCCCGGAAGGCAGGCCCCTGGCTGAGCCGCCAAGTTCACCAAGAAGCATTCAAAGGATTCGCCAGACCAGCGGCTCATCTGACTCCGAAAGTCAAAACCTCTTACAGTTCTTTTTAACCTGTCAATAAAATTTTCATTCCCCTTACTCTAGGCCCTAGATGAGACCGCTCGTCAATTCTCAGCCCAGCTTCGGAAGCCCTGGGGGTCGCTGCACCTCCCCACTCTAGCCTAAAATCCAAAGGCCCTGAGGCTTCTCCAGGTCGAATAGCCTCTAGCCAGTGAGTGGCATCTCTAGTGAGTGAAAAGGAGGGGCTGGGGAGGGAGGAAGGAGTTCTGGGAGAGGAGGAGAGGAAGGAGGGGAGCAGGAAGGAGCGAGTCAAGGGGGGAAAAATCACTTTTTTTTTTTCTGCTTCAAAACCTTAAAGAGGGTTTGGGAGATCTGGTAAACTTTGCGAAGCATCCGAATCTTTTTACAGCTCTTGGTTCTTTCTCTGGGCCAGCTGTGCGGAGCGAGGTGGGGGTGGAGAAAGAGAGAGAGGAGAGAGGGGAGAGAAAGAGGAGAGCGAGAGAAAGAGAGAGGGGGAGAGGAAGAGAGAGGGAGAGGGAGAGGGAGAGGGAGAGGGAGAGAGAGAGAGAGAGAGAGAGAGAGAGAGAGAGAGAGAGAGAGAGAGAGAGAGAGAGAGAGAGAGAGAGAGAGAGAGAGAGAGAGAGGTGGAGGGAGGAGAGAGAGGCAGCCAGCAGGCCGGGCGCGGAGTACTGCCACCTCCTCCTCGCCTCCCCAACTCCCAGCCAAGGCGCGCGGTGGCGTCCTCGCGCCCTCGCCGGCGCCCCCGCCCGTCGCCCGCGCAGGCCAGGCATGAACGCTGAGACTTGCGTCTCTTACTGCGAGTCGCCGGCCGCTGCCATGGACGCCTATTACAGCCCGGTGCCGCAGAGCCGGGAAGGTTCGTCGCCTTTTAGGGGATTCCCAGGAGGCGACAAGTTCGGTACAACTTTTCTGTCGGCCGCTGCCAAAGGACAGGGATTCGGGGACGCCAAGAACCGGGCCCGCTACGGCGCGGGGCAGCAGGACCTGGCGGCACCGCTGGAGAGCAGCGCCGGGGCGCGGGGCTCCTTTAACAAGTTCCAGCCGCAGCCACCCACTCCGCAGCCGCCGCCTGCTCCGCCCGCGCCGCCGGCGCATCTCTACTTGCAGCGGGGCGCCTGCAAAACACCCCCTGACGGCAGCCTCAAGCTTCAGGAAAGCAGCAGTGGCCACAACGCGGCCTTGCAGGTCCCCTGCTACGGTGAGTGCACGTGCGGGGCACCGGGCCCGGGGACCCTGGGGTCCGCGGCTGGCGGGAGGCTGGAGGTGGAGGCTGGAGGAACTCCCGGTCTGCCCCGAGGCTCGAGCGCTTCGAGGACATCTCTACGTCCTGCTGCGTCCCCAGCCCGCGCCCGGGCTCGAGCGCTGTGGTTTTTCCACTGACTTTGGCGTCGCTTCCTGGGTTTCTCCTCTGTTCACCCCAACGTCTCGCTTTGCGCTGTCCCGCGGGGCCGGATTTGAAGCGGATGCTTCGTCCGGGTTCCCGGCGGGAGGCTGCTAGAAGTTTCTCCCGCTGCTTTGGGCGAGCGGCTCGGGAGCCGCTGAGGCCTGGCTTCCCCGCCGCTGGCAGCCTCCCCGCACCGTGCCGCAGGTAAGAAGCCGCAGGTGTCCGGCGCGCGGGGAAGTCCTGGGCGCAGTCCCCGAGCCTTCGCTAGAAGCCACCGCACCGCGTCGCGTGCGACGCTCGTGCGGGGTCTGGGTCCAGAGAACCTGGCGCACCAGAAAACCTGAATCCCGGTCCGGGGTGGGGAGCGCGGATCGCCTAGGGGGCCGCGGCCCGCCGGTCTGAGATGTCTGAAAGTAGCGGCATCGGAAAAACATGGCTTAGGACCTACTGAGTGAGAAAGCAGTAACTCTGAGATACAGCCAGTACAGGACTGTGGAAAGAAGGAAGAATCCGAGTCCTGGTTTGATCCCACAAGGAACCTAATCAAGATGGCCTAAATGACCTCCAAGCCCCCTTGAACGTGGCTGCAGGGTTCAGGCCTGAGTCCTCCGTGTTCGCTACCACTGAGGACGCCGCAGCAGCTAATCAAATGAGTTAGGAAACCAAACCATCCAAATCCCTAAGCGCTCTCTTTTTCCATAGCATCCCCAGTTAGGAAACCCCAAACTCAAAGAAGGGAGAAAGGACCTTCTCCCCGGGCCTTTGTCTTTAGGCTAGGCCCAAGTGAGATGGGCTGGTACTTGACAGACCAATGACTCTGGCTGCCCCGACCCAGGTATATAGAGGCACTAATCCTGGGGACAGAGGTGAGACATGGTTGAGGTCTTGGTGGACAGAATAATCTCAAGAACACAGCCCAAGCTTTTAGTACGCGGGCTGCGTACCCACATGCGCGCGTGCGTGCGCGAACACACTCCCTCATTTTGAGCTCAATCACAGACAGGACTGGAACAAGCTTTGGGGGGACTGTGGACATACCCATTTACTTAAACTTAAATTCTACACACTCACACACACACACACACTCACACACACACACACACACTTCTTTATTGGCCAGCATGGTCACACACCAAATGCATACACTCATGTGGCTTCAGAAAAAGCTACACACCCTCAAAGTGTCAGGGGCTGAAGGCAGAGCTGGACAGATCTGGTGGGCTTTCCCCGCCTCTGCCACCTTCTCTGTCCACCTTTCGCTGGACCGACACCAGGCACCACACAGGTGCTCCCTCCATGCTCCACTCCAGAACCCAGGCCCTGTCCCTGTGACTCCCAGATGAGAGCAGACAGCACACTCAGGGACTCGCAGAAGTGCACTGTACAAAGTGCCCCGTGCAAAAAACGGGCTCGGTTGATTTCTCCCCCATTGCACCGCGTTTTCATCGTTTAAAGACATCCGTTAGTGTGGCCTCTGAGGTGGCTGAGACACCAGGCAAGAAGAGTCAAACTGCTCTCAAGCTCCTGGTGAGAAAGACACCCTTAGGCCCCCAGGGTAAAGAAAGAGGCTAGGCCCCTGCCTGTCCTTTGGGGGTCTTCAGGACTGACTGGCCATTATATCACCTGCCTTAGCCATTATGGCCAAGGAAAGGAGCAGCCACTTGACCTGGAACTGCCCCTAACCTACAGAGTGACCCCAGAGTGAGTAATTCTACTAAATTCCTATTTCCTAGCTGATACCGGGGCAGTAAAGGAGAGGTCGTAAATGCTGGACCCCTCCCCCATACAACCTTCCTCCTATACAATCCCCTTCATTTCCATGTTGCTGGGATCCCCCAATTCTGAGGACAAGGCAAGCTCCTGCCCTTGCTGGGACAAAGTCACAAAGGGCAGGCTGGGAGGAAAGACAGCTGGAACCTTCCAAGACCGGTCTGAAACGGAGGCACTCCTCTAGGAAACAACCAAGGAAGGCCAAATCACTCACTCACTGTCCCTGTCCCCTCTCAGAGACAGGGCTCTCTGTCCCAAAGGAGATTTCAGATCTACACAGGATGAGGCACATTGAGTCCAAGACGTAGACACTGTGGCACTGAGAAGCAGAGACAAGAGTCAAGGAGCCCTTTCAGAAGTAATGGGGAGGTCTGTGGAGTTGGGGGTCTAATCTGCCAGCAAGCTGGGAAACCAAGACGCGTATTGACAACAATTCTCTAACATCGTTATAGTACACTCAAAGCCGGGAGGTTGGGGCTCCAGGAAAAATCCTGAGATGTTCTCAGGAACCTGGCAAAAGGCCGATGGGCTTGGGAATAGGCCTTGCTTTGGTGGCTGTGGATCCCCAGCCCAGGCCGATCAGTCTCTGCAACTTCTGCTGGCTATAGGAGTCCAGATCCCAAAGTAGCTCCGAGTGGAGGGGGGCGTCCAAGACCTCAGCCTCGGTGTTACTTTGAGGTCCCTTGGGAGGAAGGTGCAGGCCTGGAGGCTGGCTAACACCAAGCTGAGAGAGTGCAGGCCGGAGTCTCCCGAGACTCCTGAACTGGAGGTAAGGGAAATCCCCTTGTGGCTTCAGGCGTCCTTACAGAGTTCCGGACCTCAGTTTCCTTATCTTTACTAAAAAGGCAAAGCTCAGAGTGACTCTGCTGTCTCCCGCGAGCACAGGGTCATTCGCGGCTTTATGAAAGGGCCCCACAGAGGAGTCCTCGCCCACTGCGATCTAGACCCCACCAGGCTCCCGGCGGTCCTTCCGCCAGGGCGGCCGGGCGAGACCGGCTCGCCAGGGTGGAGACCCGCCGTGGCTGTGCAATGCTAGGAGACACCGGGACGGGGGCGTTCAGCTCCGCAGTCCTCCCGCGGCCTCGCGCAGCCTTGCGGGTACCTCTGAGGGTGCGGCTCCGCTGGGAACAGCCCTGCCACCTCCTCTTTCGCTTTCGATTCGGTGCACGCAGGTTTTCGTTGAGAGCAATTTGGGACCGCCACAGCCCATGCGGAATGCAGAGCCCTCGGCGCCCAGGTCCCCCGGCGCTCTGGCCTGGCTCAAGCCGGGGTGGCGCCACCGAGGGGCATGTTCTGATTTTTTGAATTAGACGAAATGTTAAACTCTGGAGGTATTTCTCTACCTCCCCCTCCCCAGTACATACACAATCCACACAAGATGACTCTTACTTGATTTAGTCAAGGAATCGGGATCTTTTGTAAATCCTTCTCCCGAAAAAGTGGAGAATGGGGACGTAAGGGACCCAGAGAGCAGCCTTAAGTAGTCCCCAAGCCATTCTGAGAGGATTAATTCTCTTGGTGAAGGCAGAGATCCCCTGCCAGTTTTAGGGGGAAGGCTGGGAAAGAATAGCTTTGAATTTTTAACTTTGTTCGTTTCCATAGCCCCCAGCCTGCTCCAACAATCCGGCCCCAAAGATACGTCCTTAACCAGAGAAACAGAAGGCTTGTATTAAAAGTCTAACATTATTTTGAAATCAATGGGCTTGGCATACATTTTTCTTTAATTTACACATAAATTGAAGGTTCAACGTCTTAAATAGAAAAGTCGGGAAAATGGTTGAGAACTTGCTCAAGTCACGGTCCTATATGTGTTGAATATGCGCACGAAAAATTTCGAGGGGAAAAAAAAACTTTTGTGAATCAAGAAAATTTCAGGAAAAAAATTCGAAGCACCGGGGACCCCATCTTGCTTCTCACGGCAGTATGTCAAGGATGACCTTGTAACTCTCGGACGTTTGTGCTGCCCTGACCCTAACAGGAGGCTACAAGCAGCTTAGCTAGAACCTCTTTAAGGCTCTCCTGAAGCCATCAAAGCCTTCAAGTTGCTCCTGAGGTTCTGGACGCGGAGGAAAACAAATTATAACACCCTGTACTAAATCTTGCTAACGTCCTGGAGGGCTTTGGTTTCCAGAGGCAAATGGATAGACTTTTCTGGAAAGTGCCTTGATTCAGGTCGTGGGCGGGTTTCTTCTGGAAGCTGCGCGCAGAGTCGTTGTACAGTTGCTTCTGTAGTAGGCTGAAAAAACGAAACGGAAAAAAAACCTCTGTAGCAACTGGGAGGGAGGAGAGGTTGGCGTCCGGTGCGTTTGACCCGGGTTGGGGCTTATCTGCTGGCCCCGTGGACCTCGGGGGTGCCGGAGGCAGCAGGCAGGGACAGGACAGGAAAGCTAACTGCCTGAGCCACCCGCCGCTTTCCCGGCCTGGGACACGACACACACGGAGGTCGTGCTCCAGTAGCATGGCCACAAGCGCACTGATACACAGGCAGGGTGAGTGGGAAAGCAAGTACCTAGGGAAAAAAAGAAAATTCTGGAAAGGAGATCTTGGGCCCCTCCCTGGTGCTCCTGCGTCCTCAGTCCGGAAACTTGTTTCCTCAGGAAGCCGGAGAGCTTAAGCACAGTCACAGGTTTGGGTAGGACGGGACCGCTCACTCGGTCTTCTGACCAAATGTGGCTTCAGGGTGCCACTTGCATGTCCACTGACAACTGTGGACCTCTCCAGGCTGTGCAGTCCCCTCACTGAGGAGTTAAGGGTGGTTACCAGACCGGGAAACCACACCAGTGCTTGGACCCGGCTACAGCTAAGTGACGATTCCCTCCAACGAATTCAGAGTGGAAGCCAATGGTGACTCCGTGTTTAAGCTCTACGAGCCACTAGCTCAGCACCACTGGACAAGTGGGAATTGGTCCTTCTTCCAAACAGGGCCCCTTGGGAGAAGGACCACGCACCCTCGCTCTAGTCAGCAAGCGGTTCCAGCCACAGTCCTTAGCCACGGTTTCTTCTCTGAGACCAGTTACCAGTGGCCCCCCCGGGAACCACAATAC